AGCCTCCCAACGAGTCTTATATCAGAAGGAGCCCATCAGACGCTTACAGACGAGGTGGCGAACCTTAGGAGGATTCTCCGCGCCCTCCCGGTTGGGTTGGATGACGGTGAGCGTATCGAGTTAGATGCAGCGTCGCTAGGTGTGCGCAACTTCTCAGGATCCAACAGCGAGACTCTGGGTTTATCCGGTCTTAGTTCTAAGAGGGCTGCATCGGGTCCAACTACTACAGAGTCGTCGGCTCCTGCGCAGAGTGCACTCGCTCTTGCCCTTGTTGAGCCTACTGCCGTGCTTGTGGAGCGGGTTACCGTTGTGGTTATCCCTGCTTCAGGAGATGCACATGAGGGTGGCGAGTCTGTTCCTTCCGCCAGCATGGATGCCGAGATGTCTGAGCAAGTGCCCATGGAGCCGGCGACGGACGAGGCTACAGAGTAGGTGCCCGCGACGAATGAGGCTGCAGTGCTGGACGGAACGGAGGTCATGGCGACCTCTTAGCTTTACTTTTGCTTTTGTTGTTTTTCAGATTTCCAGTGTATTACTACTCCTTTTGCTTAGATTCTGGATTAAAATTCTGACATCTGGATGGTTTTTGTTTTGTTTCAGACTTATGTTTTTTGCCCTGCTTTGATGCGGGATGCTATTATGATTTTGGCTTTTGGTATTCTTCTCTTGTTCAGTTAACAATGCTTTCCTTCGTGAACAAATACTAAGTATCACAACCACTAAGTATTGTTCGTTGTATTTTTAAGAACGAAGTTAACGACATGCTTGTCGGACTTGTAGTGATTGTTTTGGTTTGCTGCCAAACCCGTTGTACTCGTAAGAAAGAAGTTAACGACATACTTGTCGAGTTTCATGGCGATCTTTCTGGTTTGTGGGAAGACGATGCTGCCATATCCACTCCAAAAATCGTCTCATTCAAGTAACATAGTTAGTGTTCGTGTGGTAAATATTTCATGAAAATGAGTATGCCTTAGGATTTTTAAGACTTGTTTGACGTGCGGGCGAGCCACTGTTGACACGCCCGTTCAAGGACCTTGCGTTTATGATAAGACCAATGGTCTGCTGGCTGTGTTTTAAATGATTTGTTCGGTTTACGGGCGAATCTTCATTGACAAGCCCGCTCTGAAAATAACAGTTTTAACAAGACCAACGATCTGTTTGTTGGGTTTCGAATGACCGGTTCGTTTTATGTGCAAGTCTTCATTGATACGCCCGCTCCAAAAAGATTATTTTTAACAAGACCAACGATTTGTTTGTTGGATTTATTGATGAACATTCTGGTTTACAGACTTGTTCCGGTGAACGCATCCGCTCCAGCAATAGACAATTATTTGTATAGCGCGCTTTGCAATCCTGCTGAGGATGTAGTAGTCAGATCTGAATTAAGTGTTAGAGTTCATTACTGTGGCCATCAGCAACGAAATGAGGAGTGACATGTAAAAGACTTAGTATGTAAAAGAAGTAAACGAGATTTTTGTAAAAAAATTTGTGATTTTTATTCATCATAGAATTTCTTACAAAATTG